TTTTATTCGCCATTAAAACCATCTTGATTCAATTTCTGTTCCGTCATCTCCAAGGAGAGTTAACCTCAATTGAATTAAGGCTGCTTGACTTCTGAATAAGCGTGTCTACACGGGGCTGATGAATCCACATTAAAATCTCTCTCTTCGCATGGACTGCTCCCTGTGTCCCATGCTGGCAGGCTCTTAGCCTGCCTGCTCTTTGGGGCCGGGGCTGTCTGTAGGTGCAGGGTGCGTGCAGCATCACGCTGGGTTTGAACTCGCCGTCATTTCTTAGCATTGCTTATTATGTTTCACTAAGGAGTGCTGGTCCTGGAACAGCGTGCTAGGTGCTGTACAGACACCACTGCAGAGAGCTGGCTGTGTATGAGATGAGGCAGCAGGTGGCTGCAGACAGACGGGGGAGTGTGGGGAAGGTTTGCAGGAGCCCTTGCTACCCAACGCTGCCGCCACCCGCCGAGTAACTTGATCCTTAGCCTAGCCTGTTGCGGGGGTGGGATGGCTGTTTTCTTTTACTGGGTGGATGCCAGGCTGACAGCAGGGGCCACAGCAGATAGATAGTGCCTCGCCCTGTCCTCAGTCCTAATGGCCCAAGAAGCCCCCTGGGGTATGAGGTCGAGACCACCGTGGAGAGCCCCCAAGCAGCAGGCCCATCCCCAGGCTGTCTTCTCTGCCCCAGCGAGGGGCTGTGTGACCTCGCCTGCTGCTGGCGGACGAACACCTCCTTAGGGGCAGGCCCCAGGTGGTGCAGATTAAGAGTCTCCGCAGAGTCCTTGCGGCTGTTGCTCTCTTCCCTTGTGGCCCGGGGCAAAGCCGTGGAGCTCACGACATTGCTCCTGGTTAAGTAGGCCCGGCCCAGCCCTCCTCCATTGCCCCGGGGTCACGCGAGCAGAGCTGGGGTGAAGTGCAGCCCTCCCTGCGGAGCAGCCTCACCAGAAAGGAGTTCCCTCCATCCTCTGGGGACTGTAAACCCCGTGCTGCCCCGTCCCTCTTGTTGGGGGGAAGGAAATGACACAGGAGCCAGCGCTGGTTTTTCCCCCAGCTATATTTCACATGCTTCTTACATATAAAAATGCGCATGTTCTGGGCTGAGAAACCCTTCTGCAGGAGCTGGCGGGAAACTCCCAGCTCCTCCATTTTCATGCCTCCCCCCTCCCCCCGAGAATTAAAGACAAAACCAGACACTGAACAAGGACTTGCTGTGCAGATGACACCGTAGGGACTCTGGACACAATGGCATGCATAGCTCGGAAGAAGGGTGGGGGCAGGATCAACTCGGCATGCTCAGGGGCATGGGTCCAAGGCAGAGGCAGTGATGGGACAGGGTGAAAACAAAGGAAGAAGCTCCCAGGCTGGAAGTCCAAGGGCAGAAATGTTGGCATCTTCAGCAATGGATAGAAATAAGCCCTGCTTCTTGCCACATGGCAAGGGAGAGGAGAGGGATGGTGCGATATCAATGACCAGCTGAAGATATGCAGCAGGGATGTGGACCACAATCGGAGCCCCGAGCACAGGCCTGTTTCGCTCTGCCATTCTCGCTGCTTGTCTCTCGTTACAGCATCTGGCCTACGTGGATCTGAAGGTTAACGTACAAGTGGGAGTCAGACCCATGTCTGTTTGCTTCTAGGACCCATGTCTCAGGGACATGGGCCTCAGAGAGATGCTGGGGCCTGGATGCTGCTGTCCAAGATTGGGCCGTTGGGGCTATATGTGTAGAGCCACGTCAGAGGTGCAGGCAGGGGGAACTGGTCCAGGAGTCCCTTCACTGTCCCAGGTGATCTCTGCGCCTGGCTAAAACACTAGCCCATGGTTGGGCAGGTCTCAAGGCTCTATCAAGGCAGAAAGAGCCCACTTCATTAGGTACCACATCGCGGTGCTGACAGCCAAGTATGACCCCTCCATGCTCCACATGCTAAGAGGCAGCAGGCCACTTGGGCTAAGGCTCATGCTGAGCAGAGCTGTGGGAACAGCTCAGTACAGTGGCTGATGCCAGGGGCAGCCCCTGAGGGGAAGATGCCCATGTGCCAGTGCATTTCACGGCTGATGGAGCTGAGATCTGTGGCCTCCCAGGGCTGTGCAGCAGGCAGGAGGGGGAGACAGTTGTTTTTTTGCTCCTTTAGGAGCATGATGCCCCTGCACCAGTCTCTGAGGCAGGCACCGGGGAAGGATGCAGCCCCCAGAGACACCCCCTGCTGCTATCTGCATAAGCAGCCTGTGCATCCAATTCTTTGTCCAGATATTTGCTTGAGGACTGGCTCCCTTCCCGACTGCCAGTCCCTTGCTAGGGCAGACGTGACCACAGGGCTATTCAGGAAGGAAGAGAGGAAGCCCACAGCCTAGGGTGGCGGCATGCAGGAGACCCTGGGAGGGGAATGGAGGATGTGCTGTGCCTGGCAATGAAGTTGGATGCAGGAGGGTCGCCAGGGGAGAGGGCAATGCTTGGGGTCCAGCCTTTCAAGCACATGGGTTATTTGCACTGATATTTATGCTTCCAATTTCTCATGGGCTTTTTTAACACCATTTGTGGGGCCAAGCATCAGCATCATCATCACAATGACAAGTATCAGCTCAGGTCCTGCCTCAAGGAGACCTGCTCGGCTTTGCCACTGAGCAGCCAAGATCTTTGTTCATCTCCCACAGCCTCAAAGAAGAAATGTATCAGGAATTGGGCAAGAGGTGCTTCTGTCTGTGGTCATCTTAAGAGGTGCTGCAGTTGTGTGGATACAGAGAGAGGGAAGGGGTCAAGGCTGCCAGCAAGACCCTAGGGCTCCTGACTTGGCTGTGCATGCTCGTACTGCAGGGCCATACCTTTCCATGTGGTTGGCATGTAGGCCAGATGCACTGGCAGGCTGCAAGTCCAGCAGCCAGGGGAACTGAGGGTATCCATGCAGTAAACTTGTCATGTCCAGCCATGGTGCCTTCTCACGCTGTGCTACTCTGGGCACAGGATAGCCCCGCAGCAGGCTAATTAGCACAGGGCAGGCTAATCGGCCGGGTCACTGAGCTGTTCTAATCAGCTTGCCTGGAGTACTGGGTTTACAGGAGTACAGGGCAGTGCAGTGCATTTGAGGGGGCTGCTGCTAGGCATAGCAAACTTCCAGCTCCATTGCTATCCACAGCCTCTGTGGTCCTGGGGCTGCAGCAAGTGACTGCATGCACGGCCTCAGGGAGAACAGCCCAGGTTGGAAATGTGGCCTCTAAGGGCAAGATAAATAAGGGGGGGAAAAGTACCGGCTTTTAGAAATGGGCAAAGAGCCAGTGCCGCAGCTCCTCCGAGCAGTGAGGCAACGGTGGCTGTGCAGGGCAGAAGCCTGGGGGCCAGATCTGGTCTGGACGGGGATTGTGGATGGTGGCTGTTCTGCAGGGAGGCACGGGCAAGTGTCTTTCTGACCTGGACTCTGGGCACAAAGCGGCCTCCCCTTGACTCCAGTGGCTACCCCCGTGCTCCTTGTCGCTAATGGCATTTGCTGTGCATAGAAATGGGCCCTTTGCCTCCTGCCCTTGCTGCCCTGTGCCCTGGGGAAGCCTCAGCTCCACATGCGCTATCCCTCACTGTGCAGATGGTGGTGCCGCAGGCAAAAACTGGTTAAGCAAAGACCCTGTTTCCATGTACTCGGCGCTGCCTGTTGCGGCCACTGAGTCTGGGCAGTGGCAGAGAGACCCCATTCATCCCTGCACCCTGCCGCTCAAGTTAAAGGTGACACTCACAGCAAGACAGGGTGTTGCTGTGGTACAGCATTCACCTGAGGGCGGCGGTGGGCATGCTCTGCCCAGAACGAGACCCCTGCACTATCCAGCCCCCCCCTTTCACTATCTCCTCCGGCGCTCCCAGCACCTTGCAAACAATAAACCACAAATTAAGCTTCACCTCCACGAAGCAGGGCAGGAAAATGCCTTTGCAGCTAGCGTGCTGAATAAATAATAGCAAGCAGGGATGGCTGAATGTCAGGAGAGGCAGGCCCAGAGACAAGAAATGGCTTGTTTTGGGGTTGGGGAGCCCTGCAAAGATAGAGCGGGGAAGAACGGCGGCATCCTGCCTCCTGTTCTTCACCGCTAGATGGCATTGCCTTCTCAACCCTCTTCATAGCAGTGATGGCTTTTACTGGACCAATTGACTAGCCGGGAGAACTGTTATTATTGAAGCTTCCAGCATCTTTCTGCAGGCCCGGAAAGGAGGGAGAGACAGAAGAACGGAGGAAGGGCAGCTTGGGCCTGAATCCTTGTCTAACATCTCTTCCCACCTCATCAGCTGGCCCAATTAAAGATATCCCACCCCCCTGAAAAAAAATGCCCCGTTTGCTGCTTGCATCTGTCCTGGCTCATCATGGCTACAACAACATGCCAATCCTACTTAATGAGAAGCACCCAAATAGCATCGAATTCTGGGTGCGGGGTATGGGATCGGTGTGCTGCAGTGATGCAGAGCCTGCCAGCTCTGCCTACCACAAGGAACGGGGAGGCTAATGAGAAGGCAGGTGGCAGAAGACTGCTCCTGATGGAAGGGACCCGACGAGCCAGCTGCACTGTACAGAAACACCGTCCCAGGGGCAGGAGGGAGCCGGTGCAGTCGTGACTAAATGCACGAGTGCCAACCTGGAGGGCTGGCACCCTGGAGTGCCAACCTTCACCTCCACCTCCACCTCCACCGCACTGTCTGGCCAGAACCAGCGAGCCCAGTCACTCCCACGCAGGAGGTTCACTTGCTTCCCTGCCTGCCCTGCCCCGTCTTCCTCTTAGAAAAAATAATCTCCTGCCATATGGACTGTCTTGGTCTGACACGATCAATGTTTTCACTTCAGCTCCACCAGACAGCTGCTTAATTTGTTAACAGAAAATGTTGTGGCACAAATGTATCATCAACAAGAGCTATTATTAGTTGCTGGGGATGTACAAGCGCGTGCGCGCATGCGCGCACGCACACACATGCACACACACATGCATCCACAGGCACACATGAGCGAGCATATGCACGCACACAGGCACAGACATGCGTAAGTGTGCACACGCATGCACGGTCACGCGTGCACACCCACATCCACACACACACACACACACACCAAACCTCTGTTCCCTCGGTGACAGCGGGCAGCAGGGCTGATGGAGATGGCCAAAGCGGGGTGAACTTGCTGTGCTGAAGGGCTCTCTTCTTGCTCCTCTGTGGCGGCCTTGGGCGAGAGGAGGGCAGGAGCCTTTGCTTTGACATTGGTTAAGTATCTGTTTATTTTCCAACCTTATTACTGCCCCACAGGCACAAGACCATCTGGCCCTGTTTTTCCACTGTCTAGAGGGTCTCTGCGGGCCCTGCAGACCTTGAAAAGCAAAGCACGGTGCTGGCTGGGCGAAGCAGAGACTGCCTCGATGCAAAGGAATCGGAGATGCTGAGTAAGGGGGAAGGGACCGCTTTCTTTAGGGGTCAGGCTCGCTGTCCTGGCCAGGGTCATCCTTGCTTTTGCGACCTGCGCCACTCTTTTGGTTCACAAGGGTTCCCTCTATGCTGGCCCGGCTCTCCGGACTGCCCCCAAACTTTGCACGCACACTAGTGCAAGTGTAAATGCTCGCCTAATTTACACACGTGCTTGCCATGACAATACACGTGCCATCAGAAGGCCAGTTTGATTCACTGCCGGACAGAACATTCCCCGTTTTCTTGGGGTGGGGGGGCTGTAGGCTTGGATCCACCTCGCACCTCTCCTTGCTTTGCTGCAAGGAGCAGGAACGGGGATCCCATAACTTTTCCGTCGCTGGTAGTGCAAACTTCCCTCCCCTTCTGCTCAGCCGCTGATGGGGAGAAGAGCTGCAGCTCCACCCTGCTCCACTGCTCCCTTCCAGGCCCAGCCTAGTGGGCTCTGCTCTCCTGGAGCAGGGCAGCGCTTGGCTATAGGCAGCGTGAGATTTACTGAACCAGCTCCAGCCTCTTGCTTCACGTCACGAGATCCAACTCGGGCCAGGCAGGGTCCGCTCTGCTTAGCACGAGGCTTTGAGCTGCCTTGGCTGAGAGCCCTTCTGGGGAAGGAGGGGGAATGGCGAGAGTGGGGAGAGCAGAGAGGCCAGCGGCCACGAGACCCTCTCAATACCCAGTGACTGTTTGAAGCAGGGATTCCCTTCACCCCATTGAGACACAGGCTTGATCCACCCCTCCTTAATCTGTCTCCACTGTGCCTGTCCCTGTCAGGGGCCCAGCAGCTGGTGGCCCCTGCAAGGGCATGAATGAGCCAGATGTAGCTTGGGGGCCTCGCTGCCAGGCCCATCTTGACAATACACGAGCACTGGGTGAGCACATGGTGGGGGCTTGGAGACCTGGCCTGTCCCTCTCCCCCAGCTACATCTCTTCCTACTGACTCTAGACCCCGCGGCTGTTGCCTTATTTCTTTTAGCTTCTAGCACCTGAACCCTCTCACGTAATGCAGGACAGAGCCACGTCATGGCACTGACATTTGCACAGAACCGTGTGCCTGGGAGGAACTGCAGAGTCGGGCTATTATTGCTTGTATTCACAGATGCCCCTTATTAAAAATGCTAGAAAGAACTCTTCCAAGGCACAGCAGCTCCCCGGTGCGGCCCCGCGCCTGCTCTCGCTTCCCAGGCCAGTGCGTGGGCTGGCGTGGCAGCAGCCCTCTCCCCGCTGTGCCCACGTCCATGGTTGCACAGGAAGACTTCAGTTGGAAATTTGTTAAAAAAAACATTTAAAAATGAGCCATAAAACAACAACCGAGAAAGGGTCCAAGATTGTCTCTTAAAAAAAAAGGGAAGCAGGTTCTCCAGGCCCCAACGCTGCTCGCCTTGCCGTCGGAGAAATGCATAGTTGATACAAAAAAAGGTCAGCTACATCAGGAGGCCTCCACAGCCGCGGGGCTCGGGGGGCACCTCCTCAAGCCCCTTCTGCCCTCTCCGGCGTGGAGGAGTGGGGGTCCATGAGCTCACGGAGAATGGGGTGTGCTCAGAAAAGGAGCTAAGCTGCAGGAGCAGGCACCCGGACCTCCGGCGGTGCTCAATCCAGTTTTGTGGCAAGGCCGGGGAAGTGAATCACTTCTTCTTCCCGTTTGCTTCTGAGCCCTTGTGTGGACCTGAGCCAGCGTCCCAGCAGAAGCGGGTCCCTCTGTGAGTCCTGCTGCCTCGGTCCTCAGGAGAAGGACCCGCCTGAGGAAATGAAGCCGTCACTGGAAAACAAAGGATGCTCCGATGCCTCCCTCCCCCCTCCCCATCCTGGGCTGGCCACGTTGGTGGCTGGCAGCGGTGGACAAGCAATTCCCCTCTCCCAGAGGCACTCAGATCATCTTCATGTTGAACTTCCTGGCGCCTCCCTGCCCGGTGGTGGTGGTGGGACCATCCACTTTGCGGAAGGAGTACTCCACGGAGAAGTTGTTCTTGTGTTGCCCCCGACCCCGGCTCCAGACAAAGAGGAGCAGGAAGCAGAAGAGCACCACGCCCAGGAAGGTGATGCAGCCCATGGCAGTGGACACCAAGATGGTTTTGAGGTCCAGTGTAAACTTCAAGAAGACCTGCGTGTCGTTGTGGAAGGTGTCATTGAACTCGCTGAGGTACAAAGTCCGGTTTGCATACAAAGAGCTGTCAGCTGGGTGCCCCTTCACCGTCAGGGTGGCGAAGTAGGTGTCGTTGCCCCCCGCATTGCTAGCGATGCATATGTATGTGCCGCTGTCTTGGACTTGGGCAAATCGGATTTCTAGCGTGCCCCCAGGGAGGACTGTTGCTCGCCCTGTGCTTTTGGTCGTGATCATCCTGTGCTGAGGAGAGACCCAGACAATGGAGGGCATGGGCTCGCCGTCGGCTCGGCAGAGGAAGGAGACGGACTGCCCCTCACGGGCCGTTATGTGCTGCAGCTTTCGGTCCCTTATTTTGGGCTTTTGGCAGGTGAAGTACTCGAACAGTATGGAGTCTGGGAAGTCGCGCAGGGCATTGCCCTGGATCTCTGGCGGCGAGGAGCACATGGGCTGCTGCCCATCGAAGTTGAGTGTCTTTCGGCGCTGTAGTATCCAGAGGAGGCGGCAATCGCAGGCCAGTGGGTTCCTGTCCACACGCAGAGTCTCCAGGGTGTTCACAGAGTGGAAGGTGCTCTCCTCCAGGGTTGTGAGGAAGTTGTTGGAGAGGTTGAGGAGGCGGATTTGCCTCAAGCCAGAGAACGCTTGAGGCTCCACCAAGACCAAGAGAGCGCCCACCATGTGAAGCTCTTGAAGCCTAATTAGGTCCTTGAAGGAGCCCTTCAGCACCGTGCTGATGGGGTTGTACGACAAGTTCAGGTACCTGAGGTACACAAGGTTCCTCAACGCAGCTGTGGGCACGGCCGTGATGTTGGTGTACGTGATGGACAGAGATGTGAGATTCAGTCCTTGGAAGCTGGTGGGTGAGATGTCCTCCAGTAGTGGCCAGTTGTCAATCTCCAGCCGCAAAAGATTGTAGAGCTTCTTGAAGTTCTGGTCCTCCAGCGAAGCAATGCTGAGGTGTCGGAGCCGAAGGACCTCCAGGTTTTGGAGGTAGGAGAGGGATTCTGCAGAGATGGCTGTCAGGTTACATTTCTCTATGGTCAGCTGCTCCAGTCCCAGTAGGCCAGAGAAAGCCCTTTGGGAGATGTACACCAAGTCATTGTCTCCCACCTCCAGGTTCTTCAGGTTCCTCAGGTCTTGAAACATGTAGTCCAGCAGGATGACGATTTTGTTTTCACTGATATCCAAGAGGGTGAGGTTGGCCAGCTTGGTGAAGACCCCAGGCGGGATCAGCTTGAGCTGGTTGCCTCGCAGCCGCAAGGTCTGTAGGTTGAAGAGGTTGCTGAAGGCTCCTGGCTCCACATTGGTGATGATGTTCTCACTGAAATCGAGCTCCTCCAGCAAAGGGTAAGGGGACAGGTCCCCGGGGTTCAGGCAGCGGATCCGGTTCTTGTTGAGCTCCAGGATCTTAGTCTCGGTGGGGATCCCCTCAGGGATGGAGGTAAGACGCTTGCGATGACACGCCACGGACTTGATCTGAGGGGCACACTCACAGCGTGCTGGGCAGGCGGCCACCCGGGCTGTGCTTAGGAGAATCAAATGGAGGCCCAGGACTGGAAGCCAACATGTCATTGTGTAGAGCATGATCTTACGGTCGCGCTACCATTCTCCCATGCACCTGCAAGAGCAAGACAGGAGCAATGTTAGTTGGCCAAACCCATGTGATACTAGCAAGCTTCTACAAAGCTGCAAGCCCAGATGATGGAAAGCTGGTCCCGCCATCACGTTTTCACACTGCTCTGCTCAGCCCAACAACTTTGCTGCAGGCTATCTCATGCTTAGTTATTAGCCTAGTGAGGGGCACATAGGAAATAAGAATTCTTAGCCCTCTCCAGCTCCAGAGCAGTGTGCAAGCTAAGTTTTTTACAACCCTCATATGAGATACCAGCACCACTTTAAAGACAGAGATACTGAGGCACAACCAGGGGAGAGCTGTCCCACAGGAAAGGCTAAATCAGAGCTCCAGCCTGCCTGACTCAAACCTAGGTTTCACACCATGCTGCACTTCAGAGGCCTCTTACGCTCAGGAATGCTGGAGTCCAAGTTAGAATAACTCTACTGATTTAATAGAACTAAGCTAGTTTCGCATTGAAGGCAGAGCTGAGCCCTTAACAGGGATGGGCAACTATTTTGGGCGGAGGGCCGCTTACGGAGTTTTGGCCAGCCATTGAGGGCTGCATTTCCCTCTCCGGTGCAGGGAAGCAGGAACAGCCCCACGGTCCCAGGCCAGAAGCCTCTGCTAGGCAGGAGCTTCTGGTTTGGGGGGAGGGTGGGGCTGGGCGGGCCTTGCTGCTGGGTCCTGCTGCTGGCTTCTCCTGTGTCCTACTGCCCCTGGCTCCTGTCATCTTTGACAGGCAGCCAGGAGTAAATAAATATTCATTTTCTAAATTTTGGATAGAAAGGCCTGGTGGGCCAAATCCGGCCCCTCGACCATATTTTGCCCACCCCGCCTTAGCAAAACACTAGCCATGCATGATCTTTCTCAGGGCACATTAGCTTTCAAGGCTCTGTTCCTGGGACAACCATTTGAACACCAAGGTGCTGTATCTACAGGCGGTATGTTCAGCCAGTTTAGTTACAGCACCTCTGCTTGGCGTGACTGTAGTGCAGACTGGCCTTTCGTGAGCCTGGCGCAGTCGATTTGTGCAGGCCAGGCTTAAGTCTGTTATGACAAATGCATGCAGAGGGAGAGAACATGTGTGGGACTGGTGTGACTGTACTGCAAAAGGAAGGGGTGACTGCCGCATGGGTCTCCGGCAGGCTGGTACTTTGGTTGCTAGCCTACATCACTATATCAGCATTGCTCCTAATCTGGGCTGGGTAGATCAGCACTAAGGTGGGTACACCTGCCTGTATCACAAGCACATCTCATGCAGCCCAAGCCACTATATTCTCTCATCCCCTCATGATGCTATGTGACCCCCTTTTTGCCATGGCCCAGTCCCATGGCGTTTTTCTGGGGCCAGTGTAATATCGTTCAGGATGCCTGTTGCTGCATTTGAGCTGTCTCCATCCAGGGCACAGGCTGTTTGTACAGGGCAGATCAGAGAGATCCTAAAAAGTCTGCTGCAACTTGCACAATGCTTCCTTTGTAGATTAGAATTACTACCACTCTCCTCACTCTGGCCAAAAACACACAGGCCTTGATCAGGTGTGTCCTCCAGCTGATGAAACACTGTCCTCGCTCTGGAGGGATTAGTATCCTTCCATCACCGTAGCGTTTCTCTGGGAACCCCCAGTGCCACACATGCTTCTCTTCCCTCTCTCCCGGCCCATGCCGCTTTGCTCTCTGTCCTTTTCTGGGCAGCCTGCAATATTCCATCTTTGTTATGACCTTGAGCACCTGGGGAGGTACAGGGGGCACTGGTGGGGCACCAGGGATTCGGCTGTAGGGATCTGATGTGTAGCATCATCAAACTACTGAGAAAAATGAGTTTGTCTGGTGGTGAGATGTTTGTGAGTGAAGTTGCACAAGGAATTTGGTGCCAATGAGTGTTATTTCACATCAATGGAGAAGTCACTGTTCTTATTTTTAGTAGCAGTAATAGGATTGTGGTAACATTTAGCAGCCCCCGTCCCCAGAAATGATCCCATTGTTAGGTGCTGTACAAACATAGAAGTAAAGACAGTCCTTTCTCTCAGGAGCTTGTGATTTCAATGCTTGACCATCTAAGTATTATTTGTTTCAGCACTGCTGGGAGCCCAAGGCTGTGGATGTCAGAATAAATAGATAAATAGAAACCAAGGCAAGGCAGCCAAATCAGGGCTCAAGTCAGTTCTCCGCCCATAGCAAACACCTTCTGGAGTGCCCAGCTGTCCAGGGCCTGAGGGGCTGTGCAAAAGCCTCCCAGTTCCCTACATCAGAGGTAATCTTAATTCAAACCTTGTCCACTACCTTCTCTGGGGACGCCTGATGGCTCCCGTCACAGCATTTTGCCAGGATCCATCTTATGAGCCTGCCTGCCTTGCTTATTCCTCCTGTCTCTTCCAGTCATTTCCTATTACCAGACCTTCCTTCTGCAACTGGCTATTGCTGCTCCAGCCGACAGTCCACTAATAAGCTGCTCCTTGCTAGCTCATGGCACCACAATGTTTGTATCCGCTGGAGCTGCACGGCTGTTGCCTGCACCATTGCTGCTTGGGTGGTGGTTAGCTCCTGCGGCTGATGTTCCTGAACAGCAGTACATCCCTGGCTGGGGGTCAGCAGCTGTGCTGACTTCTACCCACTTTGCTAGCCACCACTATGAGGGACGCAGGTCATCACAGGCTCAGAAGCATTGGGCTGGCAGGGCCCTCAGGAGGCCACCCCGGTCCAGCCCCCTGCTTGAGGCAGGATCAGCCCTGTCTAACCTGTCTAGTGTTCGTCTAACCTGCTCTTAAACCTTCCAGTGATGAAGAGTCTATAACTGCTCTGGGTAGAGGCTGATTACTTGCAAGTGGCCTGTGGGATCTGCATTCTGGAGACACTAGAGAAATATGAGCTGGTATCAGGGAGCCTTCAGGATGTGACTTTGCTACAGTAAAATGGAATCAAGGTGTCTTGGGCCCTCCTGATTTGTCAGACTGTAGGTGTCTGACAGGTAACTATCAATCCCTCAGCCAGGCATCACATCATGACCCCCCACATCATGACCTGCTGCACCTGTAGGGTGTCCTCTGATGGCAGCGGCACTCGGCACGGATTCTGCTGCAGGGTGGTAGGCATCCCCTTGTTCTCACAGGTGCTGTTACTCTTGGGTAATGAAGGTCGGTGAACAGGCAAACCTGGCAGGTTTCCATGCCCCCGGCAGTGGCATTGATATGAGACACCCTCCAGCCCAGAATACCCACTGCCTTCAGCAGCATTCACTTGTAATGGCAAAATCTGCCTTGCAACCTTACATCTAAGCACCTTGAGCACTTTATGGAGATGAACAATTAAACCTCACACCTGCTCCACCCCTCCTGGGGGATGGGATTCTCTATATACCCATCCTGCAGGAGGGGAAAAATGAGGTGCAGTGAAGGAAGGTATTAACTTGCCAGGATCACACGGTGTCACAGCCGAGAGCATGCAGTGCCCAACTGGCCTGACATCCAAGCTCACCTCCTCCATACCCCTGTATCACAGTTGCTCTCAGCTGGTGATGGACAAATCAGGGACACGAGCTCTGAAATGCCTGACAAGCAACAGCAGACAGAAGAGGAGGGAGCTTGAAGTGGCCTGGCGCTCCTCTACAATCCTCCTACCCACTCAGCAGTGCTGGTGACAACAACAGCTGAGGATGGGCCATGATCAGCTCGGGAGCTTTTGAAAATATGAAGCCGGTGCCATTACTTATCCGCAGCTCTAGGCTTCCAAATCCCTTTAAAAAAACCCTGGACTTTGGCTTCTGAAACACTCTGGTGCCTTGTTGATCTTCCCCCTTATTAAAACCATCTCTGTCACCGCCACTGGCCAGCCCCAGCAGAGAGGCCATGGTGGGCATGAGCTTTAGGGGCCTGACTCCCCATCTACCTGGGAGGTGGCTACTCTAAGGTACTGGGGAGTCGCATAAACATTGCTTTCCCTCACCCAGATGCAGAAGGAAGGTGAGTCTCTGGGGATATCAGTCCAATGCCCTTGGAGAAGCTCCATCCATCCCCATCTGGTTATTCAGAAGCTTTATAGTTAAACCTCTTTGCTTCTCTTCATTGCCTGGGATCAGGACAGTCAAAGAAGGGGAGAGAAACGCCGGGTATGTGAGTGCTTGCAGGTTCACCTGTGGAGGGGGGCAATCAGAAAAGGGGCCTGCTTGGCCAGTGGTGCAGCAGGTGGGTCTCCATCACTACCAGTGGGGCAACACGGGGCAGCAGGCACTGGGGACAGTAAGGGGAGCTGATGCCCGCCAGGGTCACCAAGCCACAGTGCCTCCTGGCTGCTCATGGCCTGAGCTCAAGACGCCTTCACTTGGTCATATGCTGTAAGACATCTCTATAGGCCTTCAGCGAACTTATGGGGATGCAGGCCAGGCTGGTCTTCTGGAGCTGTTGAGTGGCATGGGCGGGAGAGGAAAGGAAGCTAGGTGGAGAGAGAGAGGCCCCAGGAGCTGCCCTCCTGCTGCAGACAAACAGGAGGCGGAAGCAGGCAGCTGCGGTGGCGGTAGCACTGAGCTGAGCGCACCATGCTGCCTGGGGTCAGAAACCCACTGGAGCTGAGGAAATTGGGCCTAATATGCACTCAGGGAGCCTGACTCACTGAGCCACGAGCCCGCAAAAGGCTCCTCCACCGCCTTGCAGATGCTGCTGGCCACACTCCCTGGAGGCCCGCAGGCACATGCATGTGCTTGCCCATGCGTGCACAGGTATGAACATGCCCATGCATGAGTATGCACACGGTTCATGTTCAAACATGCCCTCTGGCACATGCGTGTCCATAACATGTGCTGTCTGACTGGGGATGCAAGGGTGTCAGGCCAGAGACCAACCCCTTCTGTGGACACAGCTGAGAAATGCTTCTTGCTCCAGGAGAATGCGGGATGCCACGTGCCAAGGCTCAGCTCCTTCGGGGCAGAACAGGTCCCTTTCAGCACTGGGAACCCGGGAGAAGGGGCAGCACCAAAGCATGATCCAAGACCCTGCCACGAAGTCAGGGAAGGT